CACAGGACAAATCTTCACAATTGTTCCCAGGCTCGAATCCCACCGACGCAGCCACTGGGCCAACACATCTCCATTTCCTTGAGGAACTTCCTCTTTCTCGCTGCCTTTCCTGCGATGTCTCTCTACTTTTCAGCGACTGGTTTTTCCTGACAACAGGCCCAAAGTATGTGAGATGAAGTCTTGCCATCGTTGCCTGTGAAGAGCACTCTGGCCTTCTTCCAGCACCGTCCAGTGCTTCCAGCACCACAATGCAAACACAGCCAGTCTTTCGTGGTCGTCTGCACTCCATGCCCAACTCTCACTTGCCTAGGATGCCAGTGAACACAGCACGGCTTCGGTCAGGCGCACCTTATTCCACAAGGCCATAGCCTGGTTTTTCAGTACTCGAAAGAGGTCTTGTGCAGCATTATGTCACAAAAGATAGGATGTGCAACATAAATACTTCACAAATTCCAGTTGCCAAAAGACCAAATTCAGATTCCAGTCTGTCAATTAACCTTGGAAAGGTCATAATGTTCCCAAGTCTAAGAGGAACTCGAATTTGGGCCATATTCCACAAACCTCTTGGGTTGTTATTTAGGGGGTAGGGGAGGGAAGAGGGTGAGTAAAGTGGGCTGGTAGTTTGGGGAATCACGCATGTCCTGCGGTTCCAGAATACTGGAATTCCCAAATGAGAAATATCCAGTTCCTTTTCCATTTGTGGCGTGTACCTGTTAATGATTTTCCGTCAGCAATGGCCGTCGTGGTGGTGCTAAGAACCAGGTGGCAGAGTGGTTACGCCTTGAGTTGTGATCGGCAAGGTCAGTAGTTCAAAACCACCAGCCCCTCCTAGGGGAAACGATGGGGCTTTCTCCTCCTGTGAACGTTTACGGTCTTGGAAACTCACAAGGGCAGATCTAATCCTGTCCTATCGGGTCACTCAGTCAGAAATGAAGAGAGTCCTAGTGACACTGTGGGTTAGGTGCTGGGCTGCTACCCACACGGTCTGAGAAGGAAAAGGATGGGGTTGTGGGCTCCTTTAAAAAGTCCTGTAGGAAACCCTATGGAGGGCTGCTGTGTGTGTCAGAACTGACTTGATAAAGGCTGTGGTTTCTTCCCTAGAGGAGCCCTGGTGGCACAATGGTGAACGTGCTCAGCTGCCAATCACTAAGTGAGCAGTTTGCACCCATTCACTGCGATGAGAGACAAGGATGTGGCTGCCCACTTCTGCAGAGAGTCCTGGGAACCCTGCTGGCCAGCTGTATTCGCTATAGGGTCACGGAGAGTTGGAATCAACTCCACGGTAGTGTCTATTACGCAGAAAACACTGAAAACATCTATTTCTCAACATCCTTAGTGGTTAACGATTCAATCCACAACCAGATGCATCTCACAGCGTAGGAGACCAGAGTTACAAGAGAGAAAGAGGGCAAAAACTCTTGAAGAAATTTGATTCATTTAAATCCACATGATTAGATGCTGACATTCTCTATTAATCAACTTACATGTTTAATTTCTACAGCATTTAATGTTTCTCTTGATAGTATAACAGAATCTTAGGACAATAAAAGCATAAGAAAAACTTAGCTTTGCTGCTCTGTGTGTATATATCCTTTTAAAATTATTTTTAAAAATTTTTTAAATGATGCTACACACATATACAAGTTTTGGAACTCTCAAAATAGATCCCATTTCTGGGGCTGTACATCTACAAGAGCAGACGGCCTCATCTTTCCCCCCAAGCAGCTGCTGGGTTTGAGCCATCAGCCCTGTAGTTAGCGCTCAGACACACAGCCGACAGCACCACCAGGGCTCCTCAAAAGAGCTAGGATGTCTCAGTCCCACACCCCACCGCAGCCCTCCAAATCTGTCCTCAGTATTTTTGTTTAAACCAAACTTTAATTAAAAAAAAAAAATCCCACTAGTGCCAGCAGCACTATTTCCAGAAGAGCAGATCGCGAACACTGTTTAATAGTCTTTTACATAAACAGAGGGGCAAGAACATAACGCAAAATGCGCGTCTGCTGACTCTCGGGTTTGGTGTTTACAGGATAGGTTCCTGTGTATTTCGTTGCTCTTTATTCTTTCTATCTGAAAAACAGACATTACAGTTTTGTTGTGTTTTTGAGGGCTTTTACTGCAAAATAATTACAAAACACGAGGTCTACAATGTACAGGTAATGTTTAAGACTCAAGACTCTTCATGTTTACCAGTACAAAATCTCCAATTAAAAAAAAGTGGGTCAAGAGACATGTTATATGAAATAATTTAACGATCTACATAACACTCAAAGTACCTTATATTTTCTTTAATATAAAGTAAACATTTTATTCATATTTGTATATATGTATGCATATATATACACACACACATATTTTTCAAAATTCAAGAAACAGAAGCAAATCCTTACTGCAATTAGATTTAGAAATAATTTTGCAATTTGTTATAAATTACTAGTAAATTCTGTAAGACAATATAAATATCAAAGACATATAATTTTTTTAATGTAAAGAACATCAGATATGTAAGAATCAATCCACAACAAATCACTATCTAATTTCCTAAATTTTTGGATGGTTTGTTATTAACTTTATGAGGGATGTGAAGTACCGATAAATTATTCTTTGAATATCCTAAAGTGCCTGATAAAAAACGGAAACAGAAAGGAAATTGATGTTGGAAGGTGAGCAATGAAATTAAGATTATACAATAGAACCTTCAATTTCAAAATATAAAAAACACAAGCCAAAAAACCCAAAACAAAAACAAAAAAGCATAGTCCTGTTGAATTTGAGTGAGCAAATGATACTACAATACAGGTCTGGGAAACACCGAAAGAAAACTCTACAGCCATGAAGCAGCAGCCTCCCCTGTTTACGTCTGTGTGGCTCAGAGGGCCAGAAAGGAGGGCCTCACTTCTATTTCTTTGGCAGAAGTACAATGCAATCTACCAAACAGAACTTCAGATTTCAGGGAAAACTCCTTCAAATTCAGCAGCTAACAGCTTGTCTCTATTTGCTGTCACTCAGATACGAGAAACCCACACTGTTTTCTTCCCATCCCCCCTCAGTTACACTTGAGTTCTCTAACTGAAAAGGTCTGGAACAGATTAAAAGTTGAGCCACAAAATAAAAAGCCCTGGCATGCTGTCAAGCCTGTCTGGAATATACATACACAGTGGGCCCAAAGAGGAAAACTGAAGGCAGTGAAACACACACACACACACACGCACGCACACACGCATGCACGCACATACGCACGCACATGCTATGAAACTTTTTTGCCTATCTAACTGCATCCTGGCATACGTACATGGGTACATACATGCATGCATACATGGGGTAGGCATAGGGCAGTCCAGTTGTAAGTCTTTCTCCCTCTTACAACAAACCTGCATCTGTGTACTCAATGGGCCTACTGAAGCTCACTGAGAGTCGTTTATTAGTTCACTGTGCTAACTGAAAATATGCCTTTAAGTAAAAAGGGAGTGGGGGGACACCGATGTTCTATTTCTCTATCTCTATAGCTGGCTGAGTTAATCATCACCTTTCATAATCTTACGTTGTGTGTGTGGAGAACCCCACACAACAAAACTCAAAGCGTTAGTTATCTAAATTTCCAAAATGAGGAAAAGTTGATTTCATTCAACATGATTTTAAGGAAATATGGCTGGCATCTTTCCAGTCTCTACAAATATTCATTATCTACCTTACACTTGGTTTTCTGCTTCAGCCATATAGCCTTATTCAAGTATTAAAAAGAATCTGAAGTTTGAAGTTATTAACACACATAATTACTTTTTCAGCACTCAGACCAGTCTGAAGCTCAAAAAGCTCGTATTTAAGGCACACCGGGGATCTGTCCAAATGGAGGCCTTGGCCCTGACCCCACCTCTGACTTGACTTGAATCCGGGGCTCAATCCGTCCACAAAGCTGGCCGGTCTGTCAGTATGGGGGGAAAGTACGGGATTTTGTTATTAGTTTTTAAGGTATACATCAAGACATAAGAGAACTGTTCATAATGTTCCTGATGGGGAAGCTCCTTTACCCCACAAGCAGTGAGTAAGACTGGTCTTTTTCGGTCCTTGCCCCAGGGCTGTGTTTTGCTGGCATCCGCAGAGTTAATTCCGCTTTCCCGTCAGGCCCCACAGATGCTGTTCGGTCAACCCCTGTAAAGCTTCAAAGGCCCGGGTCCCGCGGCCTGACCTACTCGCTGATCTGCACACTGTTTCCATTTCGCTGCCTCCAGTCCAAGACAGAGCTTCCAAACCACAGTGATCTGCTCCTGTTTAGATTTGTTTTTCCACGGCTTGGAAAAAAGACCTCGGGAACCCAACGGAAGAAACGGAGAACAGCGAAGGGGGAAAAAGGCCCGGAGGAACTACGGTATTCTTATCAAAATGTACTCATTTGGGAGGAGTGGATTTCTTTGGGCAAAAGGAGTTTTATCCATGGGATCTGGAGAAAAATATGGCTAGCTTTTGTTTCCGACATGAAAAACAACGACAAGGATCTATACTCGAAGGGGCAAAGGCCAGGAGAGCGAGAAACTGCTTTCAGTGGACCCTCCCGTGGGTGATGGGTCTCCTCCACCCCTCCCCCCAGCTGGGAAACACTGCATTACACAGGCATGCGAAGATATTTATCACTCTCAGAAGTTAAGCATAAGCAGACATCCGGTCACCGGTGGACAAAAGCTGGTATTACACGCGTGACAGCCTAATTATTACGGCTAAAAAGACCACTTCAAACAAGACCACTGTCTCTCTCAAAATCTGAAAGGCTAGCTGGCCACCCTAACACCATCCCACCCTCCCTCCAAGGAGCCCAGACTGGAAAGGCTTGAATTTATCGAGTTTAAAGTGAGAACTATAAAAGAAAGTGCTGGAAAATGCTGAGTGGGGAGTCATTCCTAATACTACAAATGCAATGTCACTGTACTTAAATGTACCTTCCCAATGCACATACCAAAAAAATACTAATTAAAAATATCTAAAAAGGTTTTGAGGTGAACCTTTACCAAAACGAGGGTCAAGTCTTGGGTCTAGCCAAGAGGTGGTCTTGTTCTTATGGTTTATATAGTAAATTTCTCCATCCTGAGTCATGGCTTGTTCCCATCCATCAGGAAGAGGACCTATAATACAGAAAAAAAATCATGGTTGGTTTTTATTTGGTGCAGCCAAAAAATATGGGAAGGTACTAATTTAAAAAGAAGAGACATCTTGACATAAAGCAATTCATTAAAACAAATTTAAGCACATGTTCAGAGAAGGTAACCCTATATGCCCAATTCTTCTCCACTAAAAAAGAAACCATCATGTAACAAAACTAACATTTCCAAAGACAAACAGGAAGGGAAGGGGAACGCGCGCGTGCGTGCGTGTGTGTATGTGTGTGTGTTGGTGATCAATTTTTAAAAAGTTTCTGATGGAAGTCATGACCTAAACAATTATCGATATTGTTAATGTACGAGGCATGGAAGTGCAGTGGCTTAAGGATGACTCCCCCTCCAATGAGTATTGTAACAGTAATTTCCTAGGGACTTAGTGCTCTTCAAATAAGACATCAATATACACAGTCTATTTACACTGTAATACAATGCACAAATCAGTTAAGCCTGCCAAATTCACTTTCTTTATTTATGCAACTGGCTCACACCATGAAAACTGCCATAGAAAAATCTACAGTGCAAAAAATCTTATTTTTAAGCAGCCTAGAAATTGCTAAGAGGTAGGGATGGCAGGAAATGGAGGAGCTAATGCTGCTGGGAGGCCAATGTCTCAGGAAGAAAGGAGGCCAACAGATCGCTTCAAAGCTGGGGAGGAAGGAAACAACTGGCATGAAGACTGAAGAATAGAGAGAGAACGTGAAAATAATTGTGCTATCTTTATTAGAGTAGCTGGACAAAGATGTGCTCGTCTGCTTCCTTAGAGACAGTTGTCCAAGCTCTCCTGTAAGGTCCAATGAGTCAGCATTCACTCAGAGTCAACGGTGTGGGTTTTTCGGTTTATTAGGTTAGGGATTCAAGACAATTGTTTTTTTGTTTGTTTGTTTTGAGGGGAGGGATGTAATAGCAATGAAACGTTGAGTCTTAGATTAAAATAACCATACTCAAGCCTGCTTGCTGCTCATTCCCTTGTCCCCTCCTTTCCTTCCCATCACCATCAGGAGTCAGGAGCAAAGGTGAGTATAAAATGGAAAGTCTGTGTGCATGCCGAAAGTCTGTAGACTAAGATGAACTGAGTACTTCCTGTATGCCAATCACTACCTGAGTATATTGTGTATATTAGCTCATGCAAGCCCAATACCAACCAATGACATTCTGATGAAGAAACTGAGGAAGAATGGTTCAGCATCAGGAGAAGCTACTCAAATCCATGCAGTCTGATTCCTACACCACTGTGCTTCACTCTGTATCCAATGGCTGAAACTCAGCATGCTTCCTATGCAAAACTGGAGCAAGTTCCTCCTCTCCTTACCGGTGCTTCAAGGCAACCTCTACTACCTTTCCAGAGCGTCATGCCGTCTCTTTTAGGGGCTGGTTTCCCTATCATAGACATCCTGTTCTCCCTTATAAACTCATTCATCCTGCAAGAGGTCAATGTCACCTCTTCAATTCACCTGTCTTGATTATGCCACTCAGAAGTATGTTTGCTTTTCTACCCACAGTAAACTGTTAACTATTTGTTTACACGCCTCTTCTCATAAGGCAATGACCAAGTCACTCATCTCTTCAACTTTATAGTTGAAAATCTGAGAAGTTGCTCAATAAATATCTAACAAGATATTTTATTTAATGTAATACTGTAAACTTTATTTTAATAAAGTTAAAATTTACTTTCTACGTGATTTCTAAGTCTGTAAATGTCTGGAAACTGTGGTAGCAATTGTACAATTCTACTTTACGTGACTGAACAATGACTGAACAATGATTATGTATTAAATCCAAATAAATACATGTCTATAAAACAGAATAGGCTAATGATACTATTTACTTCCCATTGCCTCTGAATTTTTACAAATTGCTTAAATTAAAAATAAATAGATAAATAAATAGCACTAATTATAAGAAATGCTCTAACATTAATTGTAGTGATGACTGTACAACTCAGTATGATTGAGCTATAGAACTCCATGTTAAGTGAACTATGTCATTAAAAAACAAACCACTTAAAATTGCAGAACTTTGAAATGGAAAAAGGAAAGGTTTTAGACAGCCTATGGGAGGATGGCGAACAATTTTAGCTCTTGTGACATGTTTCTGTACATTTCTTATACACACCTATCCACTGGGGCCACCCTTTACTTTTACCACACTTATACTTTTACTCAATGATATCTTTTCATGACACAACACATAGGTCTATCTCACTCTTTTAAAAAGCTGTGCTGTCTATTCATTCATTGTGCTAACATCCTAGATTTCAGTAACAATCCCATCATGAAGATGTCTAGGTGTGTTTGGGCATCTATCTCTGGAGGCCGCGGAGAGAAATGTACCTCTAACCACCATCATGTAACGGTAACACCAACCCATTTACATCCACACAATGGCTGTATGTGCTGAGTACTGTTCTCATCCCATTATACAAGTGCAGGCAATAGTGCTCAGAGGTTAGGAGACCATTTGCTCAAGGCAGACATACATTTTTCAGCCAATATTTGAACCCAGAAGTCTGACTTGCGAGCTTCTGCTTTTAACACAAAGTTAACAGAAGTAGTTGTATAGTATAGGGGCTGAAGCATCCCCCAAACTCATGCTGGTGTTTTTCCTATGAGGTCAAGTTCTCATGCTGGGAGAAAACCTTTCATTACCACCGAGTCGATTCCAACTCATAGCAACCAGAGGGTTTCTGAGGTGGTAAAATCTTCCTATAAATCGTCTAGAGGGCTTCGTGTCTCTCTCCCAGACAGGCTGGTAGGTTTGAACTGCTGACTTCGTGGTTAGTAGTTCAGTGCTTTCTGGACAGCACTTGCAGAGAAGTGAGACAGTGTGTATTGTTATTTTTCAAAGAACTAATTTCACTAAACACAGAAGACTTCAAATACTAAATCTAGGGGGAAATTCACCAACAGTTTTCCTATATAGTGTAAATAATCATCAGAAATGAATCTCTAAATTCAGGAATTTTAGATGAGCATAAAAAGCAGTAACAAGCTCAGATAGACTAATCAAAATAAAGTTAGAATGCATTCGATTTATATGCTCATTTTCTAAGTCAAGCCAGTGCCGCCAAGTCAACTCTGACTAAGAGAGGCTTCTGTGTGGGGTTTTCCAGGCTGTCGGTCTTTATAGGAGAGCTGCCTAGCTCTCCCTGGGAGTAAAAGTCCAATGCTTACCCTCAACAGCACCACCAGGCTCTATACATTCTCATTTAAGAATGAGATACATATTCCAATCCAGGTGGTAAATTATTATTTACCTAAAATGATTTCACACAGAAAGATCTAAATTAGTGCTGTTGCCCAGGTGAGCTCGTTAGAACGCATCTTGCTGAGCCTTATCTCATCCCTAGAGCTTCTGATTTAGTTAAGTACAGAGTGAGATCTGAAAATCCTCAAATGATGCTGAGAAGTTGTGATCAACAGGCAGAAGAATCAGGACTTCATCAGGATGAAAAGCTTTATCAAGGTAAAGCAGCCACAGATAAAAGGATGCTGTATACCCCCACTCCACCACCACCTACTGAGTGACAGCATCATGTTTATGGAGAAGTAAGATTAACTTCGTGTTTAAGGCATCCTCTAATAAATAGGTGCAAACCCAAACTTCCCTGACAGCTAGTGGATTCTGCGTCACAGGGACCCTGTGGACAGAGTAGAACCTCCTCCCCTCTTAGGGTTTCTATGAACGTAGACTTCCACTTCTTTCTCTCATGGAGTAGACGATGGGTTCAAGCCACTGACGTTTTGGTTAGCAGCCAACAGTTTTAACGACGTTGCCACCAGAACTCCGTCTAGATGTGCTCGATGGGAGTATTATTGGCAACTTCAAACCAGTTTTGGTTGAAAACTCTCAACAAAACTGAAGAAAATCTGTCGTGCTGGCAGAACATTTTCTTTGTACCATAGTATTTAATTATGTGTTTTCTTTCTGGGTAGACTGTAAAATTCCTTTACTCAAGGGGTTGGCATATTATGTAGTTTTCTATCCTATTGTCCAGGACAATGCCTACTACTCAGAAAGGATACAGGTATATGGTGGTTGACATAAATATAATCAAAGTTCAATTAGAATCCCTAATTTAAGCTTGTGAAACAAAATAGGTATTGCTTCATTCTCTCAATGTTTCCATTATTTGATACCACTTAAACTAATTTTTGATTAATGAAATCCATAGAGGCACCAAACTACTTCTGTGGGTTTCTGAGACTATAAAGCTTTATGGGAATACAAAGCCTCATCATTCTTCCCAAGGACAACCTGGTGATTTTGAACTGCTGACCTTGCAATTAGCAACCCAACCTGTATCATAAAAATTCTACATGTGCTCGCAGGCGCATACACACACCACACGCACGCACGCATGCACGCACACGGCTAACAATAAGCAAAGCGGCATGCATTCAGAGACAAAGAGGGGAAATGGTCTATTAGAAATGGGGACCAAGAAGGAGTGCATTGAGGAAGTTGCCTTTAAACGGAAAGCTAAGAAGAATACAAGCACGCGATGAGTGGTCTGAGATGAGAGCTGATTCCAGACAGGGGAAACAATGAGGAAGGTAATGTGGATGCGGCAGAAAAGGTTCACTTTGCTTTTTATGATCCATCTGCTACAAGAAAACCTCCCTGCATTTGATTCCCCCAAATCACAGACAACCTCTAGACAAGTTGGAATATGATATACATATTGTCATCTTCAAGTTTAGTTCCATTAGAACTAAACCATAAATATGGAAAAGATGGACGTTTTTTCCAAAGCTGGGCTACCAATATCAAGTGTGACGAAAGTCTTGTGGGCAAGAACAGAAAATAAAAACAGGCCCTGTATCAGAAAGGTAGGGAAAAGGTGGTTAGCACTTTAATGAGCTATAAGGAGAGTGCGGAATCAGCATTTTAGTCAGATACCAGGAGTGGGAGTGCTAGTGGCATGACCGCAAGGAGTTGGGCTGTGATACAAAAGGTCAGCAGTT